AATCTGTGATGGCTATTTTGGAAACGATTGTGTCTTTTCAAACAGATGAAAAACAAGAAAATTGTTTTTTACACGCAGAAAAATGGATTTTTGTTTCAGGGCCTAATGTATTTTGTTATTGATTCAAACATATTGTATCACTATTTCAACAAAACATGTTTTTGAATCAACAAAATGGTTTTTAGAATCAACAAACAGATTATTGACTCTACAACCGGTTTGTTGATTCAAAAATATTTTTCTTTGAATTAACCGAATAATATATTTGAAACAATATCAAAAATATATTAGGCCCTGAGTCAAAAATATATCCATTTGAACTTAAAAACCGTTTCTCTGCGTGTAATATGTTTGGAAAATATGTAACACATAGGGAAAATGGATGTAATGTGGGCCTACATGTCCCTAATTTGGGCCCATACATAAATTCAGCAATCGCTAAATTTTAAATAGCGACCAAAAATAACCATTAGCACCGTCCCAATGACGCGTTCATCTAGATAAAATTGATAAACAGCAGATTTGTAGCGATGGGCCCAGGTTTAGATCCATAGGCCAACATTTGAACCTCTATGCTATATCAAGGGCAACACTCAATGCTTCAATATGGAACCAATATGTCCAATTCGGAAATAGTGCAGAGTAAATCAAGCTAAACATTGCATTAGGTCCTAAGAAACATTGATCGATTCTCTTCGTCGACTTTTTTTTTCGTTAATAACTTGAGCACATAACCGAAGACAACAAATCAAGAAGACTGGCAACTTTGTCAGAATCCAAGCGACAGATACAATGGCGCTGCGCTTGAGTGAAGGTGGAAGCAACGCATAGAAAAATGAGCAAATACACAAATCCTTCTTCTGAGGATGTAATCTTTGCTATCAAATTCGTTCGCAGCATTTACCTTTGAGCGGCAGATGTCGCGATTGTACCTGTCTCATAGCGTTCGTATGAAAAAGAAGAGTTGCCAGTCTTTTTGATTTGTTGTCTTCGACATAACCGTTTCTTGCTATGTTTGTCATATTAGATGCTAGATAAAAGCTTCTTTTATCGATCTGTGTACTGAAAATACCATAGAATATCTTTACATGGCCGTGGGGTACAAAGAGAGGGTCGACGAAGAGAATCTGTCAATGTTACTTAGGACATAATGCAATGTTCAGCTTGAAATTTTATGATTATATTCTACAATCAAAGCTAACCGCACTATCAAAGATACCCCGTTTTACGGTACTGAAAATCGACAGTTAGCATACGTAAGGGCGTAAACGCGATCGCGATGATCGGTTCTCTTCGTCGATTTTCTCTTTTGTTAATAGCTCGCTAGAATTAACGTTGCTCGGTGCGTTTGCTGTTGCTTTTGATAGCCAATACAACATGTTACAACTCTGCATTGAACAAATTCTAGAAAATTGTTTTGCTTAGCTGTAGCAATGCAAAGAGAAAATCGATGAAGAGAATCGATCATCGCGTATAAGCCCTTATGCATGCTCACTGTCGAAATGTTCGTTGGGTTGTTTCTCGTGTTTTCGGCGGAATTTCGACGACGAAGACAGCATTACCGGTGAAGGAGGTTCTGCACGATACCAGTGAAGATCTTGGATGCTACCAACGACGGAATTTTCTCACGTTCCTGGCAGAAGAGGTTCCATACGGTTTCGGTGGCGATTTTGGAGGCTGCCAGTGGATGTTTCAGGGAATGTCAACGGAGTTTTCTCGCGTTCTCAGTGGAGGAGCATCTGCATGATTTCGATGAAGGATTCCGATTCTGCCAGCGGAGGTTCCATGGCGTTTTGACGAAGTATTCTCGCGTACACGGTGCAGGAGCCTCCGCAAGATTGCGGTGGAGATTTCAAAATCAAATTTTCGCTAATCATATTAAATAGGGGAAATGTCTCTAATGTTGGCCTATGGATCTAAGATTGGGCCCATCGCTAAAAATCTGCTATTTTTCAATTTTATCTAGATGAACGCGTTATTGGGACGTTACTTATGGATATTTTTGGTTGCTATTGCAAATTTAGTTGATTGCTGGGCCCAAATTAGGGACACTTAGGCCGACATTACCTGCATTTCCCTATGTTGGCAAGGCATTATCCTGAAGACATTCTGATCTTCAAATATTCTCTCTACTAGTGCTTCCATTTCATGGCCATTTTTGGCTATCCATGAAAGGAAATTAACTGATGGCACTTCCCGGGAATCGGGATAATGTTTTCCGGAGACCAGATATTATGATAGACCAAGTTATTATTTTGATAGGTAGTCATAAGTATTGAAACTTCGTCTTACTTAGTATGAATTATTCTTACACCTCCCGGTGTTTCTTCCAACATGCCCTGGAAGAGTCTTTCATCTTTCCCGCAAGTTTATTCCAACTTTCTCCGGAAATTTCTTATCCTCTGGCTTCCTCCAGGAGACCTACTGTGGAAATTGCTATTTCCTTCCTTCCTTCCTTCCTTCCTTCCTTCCTTCCTTCCTTCCTTCCTTCCTTCCTTCCTTCCTTCCTTCCTTCCTTCCTTCCTTCCTTCCTTCCTTCCTTCCTTCCTTCCTTCCTTCCTTCCTTCCTTCCTTCCTTCCTTCCTTCCTTCCTTCCTTCCTTCCTTCCTTCCTTCCTTCCTTCCTTCCTTCCTTCCTTCCTTCCTTCCTTCCTTCCTTCCTTCCTTCCTTCCTTCCTTCCTTCCTTCCTTCCTTCCTTCCTTCCTTCCTTCCTTCCTTCCTTCCTTCCTTCCTTCCTTCCTTCCTTCCTTCCTTCCTTCCTTCCTTCCTTCCTTCCTTCCTTCCTTCCTTCCTTCCTTCCTTCCTTCCTTCCTTCCTTCCTTCCTTCCTTCCTTCCTTCCTTCCTTCCTTCCTTCCTTCCTTCCTTCCTTCCTTCCTTCCTTCCTTCCTTCCTTCCTTCCTTCCTTCCTTCCTTCCTTCCTTCCTTCCTTCCTTCCTTCCTTCCTTCCTTCCTTCCTTCCTTCCTTCCTTCCTTCCTTCCTTCCTTCCTTCCTTCCTTCCTTCCTTCCTTCCTTCCTTCCTTCCTTCCTTCCTTCCTTCCTTCCTTCCTTCCTTCCTTCCTTCCTTCCTTCCTTCCTTCCTTCCTTCCTTCCTTCCTTCCTTCCTTCCTTCCTTCCTTCCTTCCTTCCTTCCTTCCTTCCTTCCTTCCTTCCTTCCTTCCTTCCTTCCTTCCTTCCTTCCTTCCTTCCTTCCTTCCTTCCTTAAAGACTCTTCTGACTTCTCCTGGAATTTTCTTCCGACTTACCCAGAGGTCCGTTTGACTTCCTTTGGAATTGTCTTCCGACTTTCAGAGTTCCCCCGGAAATTCCTTCGGATTTTTCCTGGAAGTCTCTTGCTAGTCCAAGTTTCTACCGGTTTCCTCTGAACGGTTTTCCAGCTGCTCCGGAGAGGTTCATCTGATTTTCACGAGCAAGTTTCTTCCAACTCTACCCAAACAAGTATCTGCCAACTTTCTTCGGAAATTACTTTTGGCCGTTGGAAGAGTCTTTTAACACTCCCGGATGTTGATTATCTATTATTCTCAGAAATGTCACCTGACATTCCCCGGAAGATTCTTCCGACTTCTTCAAAAGCCCATCTGGCTTCCTCTGAAAATAATTTCTCGTAAAGTTTTCCAGAGTTTTCGCCGATTCTTCTCATTTCCCCATGTTAAACAAATGAGTAGATTTCTCGGCTTTTGTGGTCTATTTTCGATGAAAATTGTTGTTTAGCACAGGTTCTGAAAAACAAAAGAAAGAATGTGTAAAGGTTAGCTTCGATAAATTCAGGACAGCTCCATAAATGTCTGGAAATTTTAGAGAATATTTAAGTAGTTCCTGGAATTTTAAGGAAGTAGAGAATTCCTAAGAAGTTTGGAAAATTTCAAACATATTTTGGGAACATTAGAGAAGATCAGAGAGTTCAGGGCAGTTCAATTCACTTCAGATACTCATTATATGGATACTAAAAATTACCGATTAATGAGCTAAGACACTTTACTCCAAAATGGGTAAAATTTTACACATTAATGGCTACTTTCAACTTAGCATGTGTACGACTAACAAACACCTCATAAAAACACATATAAACAAATGCCTCTGTGCTCCAACTGCCGCTTTGTTTTTTCTCACGGCCGGTCGTGAATTTTTGGCAAACGTTGAAATATCGCAATAAAAACGCCAAAAATTCGTAAATTTATTTCCGCAGCATAAGACAACAGAAGCAAACTATAAATATACCGCAACTAGTGTAGAACCCTTTCAGGACCTGCTGTTTCTTTTCCTAAATATGTAAATCAAAGACTCTCTGGCTCGCCTTCTCCGACTTTCCCTCTCCTCGCCGCCTATTAAGGTGAGCACCCCGCCGCGCCGCCCACCAGCGCTGACTTAAATCATCAGATGTGTGAAGGAAAGGAAATTTTGTGTTTACATCCGCGCAAATCGAGCTTGCCTCGCAACAACATCGGTGTCGTCGTTCGTCACGGTGTTTTTCTTTTTGGCAAGCGGAAAAGTGTGTGAAAATAAAACGACGCGTGAAAATTGCCAAGAACAGCACCCGACAACCGAAATAGACCGATAGCAGCAGACACCCCACCGTCCCAAATCGGGTTGTAGTTGTCTTCACAACGAAAACAGATGTTCGATCGCACATACATACACACCAGCGTGCACACTTACCGATTCACCTGTCCCCCGAGATGTGCCGTTAGTCAGAACATTTAATCACTACTCATTTGGACCACCACCGTGTGACTCGTCGTGAACCGTGAAAATTTCGGGCGAAGCAACGCCTACTTAGAAGAATGCAACTCTGCGCTCGATCAGTGACGGTGGAGAATAAGAAGGCATAGAAAGTGGAAGAGTGCAACGTTTGAAAGGAGTCTGAATTTTGCGAACCGAAAAAAAAAACAAAACGCAGGTTACTTTGTTTGTTTGTCACGACGCGTGACATGTGTGACATGTGATTAATCTTGTTATTTTCAGCAAAAACCAACCCCAGTGTGCCTAACAACTACAACAACAACAACAACAACAAAACCACAGAGAGTGTCCAGTCAGTGGCTAATCAAAAAATTAATTGCTTTGAAATATTTCGTCCACCACTTAGCAGTGTAGCGAGTGTCATCACCAGCTAAAAATATCCGCGATAGAAAAAAAAATAATCGGGACGCAACGAAAATAAAAAGTGAACGTGATTTCGCTGTTGCTTCCCCGTTACGTTCCTCCCCCGCGTGTCTTTGATACCCAGTGACAGGTGGTGAAGAAAGAAGGAAGGACGCAGCAGAATATCGTAAACAAATTTTAGAATCCTCCGGGGCCGGGTCCCACCTTGTGATTGACATAAAAAAGCGACACATTCGCAGGACAGGAAACGAAACACATTTGCCACATCCTACAACTGAACAAAGGAATAGCCGGAAACATAAAAGCAGATACAGACACACCACTACCCTTTGGATCAACACATCAACAAATACACCCATTGTCATCTACCTACACAGGAAACACTAAACAACTCAAAGCAGTCATCAACATGGATGTCCAAGTACAGGTATTTACAACATGAACACAAACATTTATACGAATAACCAATTTTATGCGTCGTAAGAGAGATTTTGTAGGAGTAAATGTTACATTGTTTGTTTGGTAGTTTTTGTCTAAAAACCTTCTAACGCTTCTATCTTCAGTAAAATCTAATCATTAGCTGGGACATTGGGTCGTATGAACTCAAGCTTACTACACTTCGAGTAGTAAATAAAATTCAAGTAGGTTTTGCAATCAAAAATAATACCCTAACTCTATTGATTGATTGATTGATTGATTGATGTTTGCTGGTTGGTTTACAGCCCTAAGAAATGTTGCAAACTATTGCGATGTACTTAATTATAATTTTGTACTTACATCGAATCGAAATGAAAATTCAAAAGGTTGCGTATCTTCTGGCAAGCGTTGCAATATATTTGACATACGAAACCGTGTTGCCGAATTGTATTTTGTTTTTTCCACCCATCTCTCCCTCTGTGGATTTCAAGTAAACACAACATACTAGCTGAGATGCCCGGCGTTCCTCAGGAATTACAATATGACGAAAGTATTGCGTAGCTACTCAGGTTCATGTTCCTGCCCATGTTTTTTGACGTAGGATTACGTCTTTGGCAATATATTGGGGCAATTGGGGGTGCAATTAAAAAAAAAATCAAAATTGTCCCCGTTGCGAAAAGAGGTAAGGTTTTGACCTCTTATAACTTTGGCAATAGCGGATGGACTTTAATTCTAAACAAACCAATCGATTGGAATTTTTTCTACAAATCTGCTTTAATGACACTTTATTAATTTTCAATAGGGTAGAGAACTACTTCAGCCTAATCGCCCATTTTGGGCCTATCGAGCAGAAAACTTCAAATAAATCCATGATTTCAGAGTTAACAAGTCAATTGTGCGTTTGGTACGATACTTTAGTTAATACGCTACGAAACGAAGTCAATGCGAACGCGTGATATGAAGGTTTGCACCCATAATTCCCAAAAACAAAAGAAGCGCTCTCACCGAATCACGTTTTATCTTCATCCAATAGGCCGAAGTGAATTCATTGGCGTTCCAATGGCATTTCAATGCGTTAGGCCGAGTTTAGAATCCGTAGGCCGAGTTTGGCGTCAAGAAGCAGTGTTAGACTTTTAGATATTGTCAAACGATTGGTTTCTCTTTATCAAATCTTACAGTACGTACGGATTATAAATTTGGAAGCCATCAGTAATAATAGCATTCCGTTTGGTGCTAAACTGCGCTAGATTAAGGAAGACTAAGTGCAGGTTGTGCTTAATAGGCTGGAAATGGGGTAATTAACCCTATGTCACTATTGAAAATTACACGAAAATCCAACTTTTGCAATGGTGATCAAAAACATCACCGATTGCCTGCTAAAAGCGCTTTCCCTAACACAGATTTCAAAATTGAATCCCATCCGGTCTCGCCGAACGGTGTTTATTCAATCACCGCGTGTGGTGAGTGGTGGTGTCCGGTTGTCATCATCAGCAGCAGTGCTTTCGGCGCGTGGCGTTGTACATTTTTCTCCAGTACACAACGCGAGATAATTTTGCAGGATGATCCGTCTGTGATAGGTATGGACAACATAACAAAATGAACCTCCTCTACACGCCGTCCCGTTGATGAGACTTTTTTTCATTAACACTCCGAATACGGTGGGTAAAAAACTTTACGCCGACTACGAAGCCTCCGAAAAACGTGTAACGGCAAGTTTGCAATGGCATAACTTAGCCATTTCTTAATGAATTTAAAAATTGTGGTACCTTTAGAATTCCTAGGGTTTGTAGATGATGTTGGTTGTGGAAAGATTGAAAATAGAGTCGTCTACTTTTTTTTAAAAACCGAAAAGAGTTGTTACACGTTTTTTTGAAAGGTGTGTTTGTAGGATTTTGCAAGTGGCTCAGGATCTGTAATTTAGGTTAATGTTCACAAATGTTCACAATTAGCCAGAAAACAGTCATGGTTCCTATATATGGATCCTGTCGACAAACGGAACGGTCCTCGAAAAATCCGGAACATCCGTCAAAGTGGTCAATCCATGAACCTGCTCCTAGAGCTCTGCGGTTTTTTTTTAAAACATTAGGAACTGTGATGTAAAAAAAATATTTGGGGTCGTGACATAACATGTACTTGTACATGACCTCTTTTAAGGATGGTCTGGACTTACCAGAAGATGGTCCCATGGCTATTTGGGTCCATGTTTATGTCATGACCCCAAATTCTTTCTTAAATCGCAGTTTCACATGCTTTCGAAAAAACCGTAGAACTCTAGAATCAGTTTCGAGGATTGACCATTTTTAAAGATGTTCTAGATCTTGCGGAGGACGGTCCCATGGCCTTCTAGGTACATGTTTATGTCACGACCGCAAATTAATTTATATATGACAGTTCCAAGTATTTTCGAAAAAAAAAACCGTGGAGCTCTACGATCAGTTCCGGAGGACGGTCCGATGGCCATCTGGGTCCATGTTTATATGACGATCCCAAATTAATTCTAATATCACAGTTCCTAACGTTTTCAAGAAAACCACGGAGCTCTAAGATCAGTTTCGTGAATTTTCCACTTTTACGGATGTTCCGGATCTTCCGGAGGACGGTCTCATGACCATCAAGGTCCATGTTTATGTCACGACCCCAAATTCATTCTATCATCTCAGTTCATAGTGTTTTTCAAAAACTGCGGAGCTCTAAGATCAGTTTCATGGATTGACCACTTTTACAGATCTTCCGGATCTTCCGGAGGACGGTCCCATCGACATCCAGGTTCATGTTTATGTCACAATCCCAAATTCTTTCTATCATCACAGTTCCTAATGTTAAAAAAACACGCGGAGCTCTTGCATCAGGATCGTCCACTTTTACGGATGTTCCGGATCTTCCGCTGGACGGTCCGATGGCCATCTGGGTCAATGACCCAAATTCATTCTTATATCACAGATCCTAATGTTTTCAAAAAAAAAAACCGCAGAGCTCTAGGATCAGGTTCATGGATTGACCACTTTTACGGATGTTCCGGATTTTTCGATGATCGTTCCGTTTGTCGCCAGGATCCATATATAGGAACCATGACTGTTTTCTGGCTAATTGTGAACATTTGTGGCCATTAATCTAAATTACAGATCCTACAAACACATCTTTCAAAAAAACGTGTAACAACTCTTTTCGGTTTTTAAAAAATAGACGACTCTATTTTCAATCTTTTCACAACCAACATCATCTACAAACCCTAGGAATTCTAAAGGTACCACCATTTTTTTTAAATTCATTAAGAAATGGCTAAGTTATGCCATTGCAAACTTGCTGTTACACGTTTTTCGGAGGCATCGTATTCGGAGTGTTAAACTTGTCAAACTTCATTTCGATGCCGAGAAAACCCATATTGTATAGTAATAAACTGACGATTTCCTGCATTGACACGTTGTTCGCATTCCCAAAATACCCATATTGATAGCTTTCCATACCCCCGAAATTCGGAATTCTAAAATTATGTTAATCAGTGACTTTTGGCATCTAAACGTTGTTCTCGTTCTGGAATTAGCTTCTGGGGAATGACACTTTTCCAAAATTTATTACCGCTATATTGTATTTTAAAAGGTTTCCATATTGTAGGTGACAGTTTTTCAAAAACCGGAAGCCGTCATCTTGTATTCCAAAATGGCGTCAATTATAAACTCTGTCCACACGTCATTTCAATTCCAAAAATAACTATATTGTATGGTATTTGAGAGTATTTAAAAAAAACCGGAAGTCATTATCTTGGACTCCAAAATGACGTCAATCAGGATTTTCATTTTCTACTCGTCGTTTCTGTTCCGAAATACCCATACTTTAGGTTATTTGACAGTTTTTCAAATCTCGGAAGTTGCCATCTTGGATTTTAGAAATCCGGAAGCCACCATCTTGGATTGTAAAATGACGTCAATCATCGATTTTTGGCCTTGCGTCCTCTCCGTTCCGAAAATACCCATACTGTGGGGCAGCGAATCCAAACACATAAAGCAACCAACGATACAGACAAAACGGTTGCTACGACTACCATGTGACAAACTCGCTCTATAACATAGCTCGATCCGAGTGGTAGAAGGATAATGATATATTGCTTGCCTGATTTGTTGCAAAATACACGGATGAGGACACAGCTTGATATGAATCGAGAAAAGACATAACAAAAAAATTCCCATTAACACACGTGTATCATTTTCGGCTTTACTTCGTGAAGCAGCTTGCCAACAATTTGCTCGTTTCCTTCTACCGCCCCGAGTTAGTTGTGTCGCACGGGCTGCTTGTCATGAAAAAGAACGAAGAAGATTATATCATTATTACTTTTCACTTCTGACATAGCGTTATTATTCGGTTCGTTGATCGCTTGTCATTTTCTCATTTGAAGATATTTTTGATTCCTTGCTGTGGGGTATTTGAAAGTTTTTCAAAAACCATTAGCAGTCATCTTGGATTCCGGTTTCTACACGTCCTTTCCACTCGAAAAATTTCCCATATTGCATGTAATTTGACAGCTTTTTTTTCAAAATCCGGAAGCCGCCCTCTTAGATTATAAATTGGCAATCCTCGAATTCCGGTCTATACTCGTCATTTCCGTTCCGAAAATGCCCAGAGTGTAGTGTATTTGACAGTTTTTCAAAAACCGGTAGTCACCATCTTGGATTTTAGAAAACCGGAAGCCATCATCCTGGATTCTATAATGGCGTAAATTTATCGAATTCCCGCTTCTACACGTCATTTCCATTCCGAAAAATCTCCATATTGTGGGTATTCGACAGTTTTTCAAAAAACGGTACTCGCAATCTTGGATTTTAGAAAACCTGAAGTCTCAATCGAAGATTCCAAAATGGCGTAAATCATCGACTTCCGGCCACTACACGTCGTTTTCGTTCCGGAAATACCAATCTTGAAGGGTATTTTACAGTTTTTTCAGAACTCGGATGTCGCCATCTTGGATTTTAGAAAACCGGAAACCACCATCGTGAATTCCAAAATGTCGTCAATCAT